TGTCCATTATGTTTCTCTCTGTTTGTGTGATTCCCGCCCCTCCGTGGTGAACTCGTGCTGCTGCCACATCTGATTTGGTGCCAATGCACTCTTCTTGTTCTTTGTTCAATGCACCCAAATTTCTGAATCTCTAAGAGACTCTGACTTTCCAGTGTTGAATTTCAGTGAATTCCCTCTTCCCTTACCTCACTGAGAAGCAGTATTTTCATTGCTTAAAGCCTGAGACATGGAGCAACTGGAAATCATGAGTGTATTTTATGTATTAACTTTCCAACCCTATGATAGAGTTTAGCCTACTATGCATGAGAAGGATGTCTCATGGCTCATGGAGGCTTCATTAAGCCAGAGAAAAATATGCTGGAGTGATGTAAGGCAGGCCTCATTCATTTGTTTCTCCATTCATGGAGAAATATTCATTGAGCACCTAGGAAGCAGTCAGAATGGTGCCAAGTACTATAAAGGGCCCAGAGATCTATGGGGTACAGCTCCTGGTTATACTTATACAGAGCCAATGACAGATATTCATGGCTATTTCCCTAAGGCCATTAAGAATATCTTGCACCTTTATTTCCAGTCTTTATTCCCTTTTTCTACAATGGGGTCCCTCCCTTAGGGAGAAAGGGAGGGGTAGCTGCTAATGGAAGCGTGTATCTACAGAGAACGACCACACTGGAGCACACACCAAGGAAAACCGAGGAAAGTGTTCTGTCCTCCAATGTCTGACTGGGAATACTCATAACAGCATGAGCACTGCTGGTTTCTCTAGAGAAGAAAATCGATTTCATGAACTACTGACCTGCAGCTCAGTGAGAAGGTTTCCATGCCGAGTCAATAACTTATACAGAAGGTTCTTTGAGAGCCTGTCACACAAGTGACGCGACGCAGTGACTCGAGGACTACTACCCAATCCACCTTCGATGCAATATTTGTATCACAACCAATTCCTACTGTCATCTTGTCAAGGTCCCACTGTTAAAGGTAGGATTAGGGCTCAGGGAGGAAGACGACCTTCCAGGTGGTGAGCATGTGAGGAGGAAGAGGTGGAGGAGGACACGGTGACTTTGATAATGCTGTCTATTCGGTAAGATGGTTTTATCTGTGGTCCCCCAAGCAATCCTGTAAAATGTGCAGGAGGCCTCCTAGCTTTAGTTTTAGTTATAAAAAGGGACACAATCCAAAACTGACAAATGTCAGAGAGGAGTTTAAAATTCTGGTCTTATTACTCCAAGTGGAGTGACTTTCCCACCGTTCCAGCCGGCTTACTGCTTGTGATGTGGACTGAAGTAGAGAGACTTCTGGATGAGTAGATGGTTCTTCTAGATCACTGGCTCGTCAGAATGACAAAGGCATCACACTCACGCACACTCACTTACACAAAGACCTTTCTGTTACAGTCAGAGAACTCCTGGGACCAGAAGAGATAAACCTCTTTACTCAAGACTTCTCAGTGCCTTTAGAAGGCTCACCTAATGAATGAGTCCCTACAGGTATTCAAGAAGGAAGAGAGGATACAGTGGCTTCTTTGATTAAAGGATTCTTTCCTCATAACCTACCTAGTAAGCACTAGTTTTCTCGGAAATACACTTGGGGAGTCCCTGCTTTAATTTGTAAATTGTCCCATTAGTATCCCTGGAAGACTGCAGAACGACCCCTGATCCAAGCAAGATGAAGAAGGAAACCCAAGACCCATTCTAGACCAACAGTGTCCAATTACAATCTCTAGGCCAGGCTGTCTTCAGAGCAGTC